TCGCTACTTTTGAGTTATCGCCCCAAAGTTGTATTTGACCTGCAAGACTGTGAGCTGTTGACCCAAAGAGGGAGCTGCCAATGCGTGATCGGTAAGCTCGGTACCTTAAAGCCATTAAGGTAGCTTTGCCGAGAAAGCAACTATGCGTGTGCCGACTGGCTGCGACTGATCAGTTCAGCAGATTCGACTTACAACATGTCCCAGGCCTCAATTTGCCCCTCCTGACAAGTCTTCACGCGTGTTGAGTGCCTTGACTTGGCTCGGCAAACCATCAGAAAAACACGCGACAAATGGTTTCCGAAAACAGCAGACCATGCTGTGCTTCTCCCCATATATTAGCCTGTGAACTCCAACAGACCTTCCTTCTTTGGCTCGGCTTTTGAGCTGCGAGGGGAACAGCAAGCCAGTGGAAATCAAACTAGTTTCTGGGCGCGGTACGTGAATGCTGCAGCTCATTTCTTATTGTCTCTTGGCTTCTGCTTGGCTTCCTCTTGGCGATAAATACCTCCACCTCCGCTCCTGACTCGACCGTGCTCCCCGCGCGGGCAAATCGCTTTTCCGAACAGCCAAGCTCAACGATGCTGGAGTTTCGCAAGTCTTGTTGTGCTGTTCAGCTCGTATTCTGCAGAACCGCACCCTCCATTACGTGAAAGCTCATACTCGTGCATCGGAGACACACAACAAAAGAAGAAGGTCTCTTAGAGATTCTGGAAGCGATCTGTCCACTGCCATTTTATGAGCTGATTATCATGATAAGCAGACCGGGAGATAGTTGAATGTTGACTGCTTTCCCTTGATGGATCATGGAAGGACTCAATCATGCAGGTTGAGGATGGTGGTCATGATAGCGGATCAGTGATGTCAGCCTTCGTTGCCCTAAATGCCTTCCCGATCAGATGCATGGAGAACATAAGACCTAACTAGAGTCCAGTTGCATTTAGAAAGGCTGGGAGAAGGATCTTTTGGGCATGACGCTGAGAAAAACCCGTCATGGCTCTCGGTTACAATTCTACAGAAAATATGTAAAGAAGAAACAGTTAATATAGATACTTTGAACAACTGTAGTTTTAATAATCTGCTCTGTGCAGTAAGGAAACACAAGATAGAAAGCCGTGCTGCTTTATATTACGTCGAACATGAACAGCAGTTACATCCTGGCGTATTGTTTCATGAACGCTAGTAACGCTACCTATAAGTAATGCATCCTAATTTCAATCCCTTCTTGTAGATAAGAAGGGAAACAAGTTCAGGCAGATGCACGCTACCAGACACCCATATCTTTAGAATAACTTTTACAGCAGCTAGTAGAGCTCTATCGATCGGGATTTCGGTTGTATCGGTTGCGTTTTCTGCTCTGCCTGATGTACGTGTAATGTACATGTGTCTTCAATTTTCCATCGTACAGCACGCTATGTTCACTGCTGAGAGACTTTGGGGAAATATCTCTGGGCGTATGATAAAATGTGACTTCTAAGTTCTTCAAGCACTGAAGGTACATGCGAATGAAACGCGAATAAGTAGGCCATCGAGATGTAATGCTTTTTTGCTTTATATACGATGCACATGTGATCTGAAAGAGAAAACTAAATGAGGTTGACGCCTTCTTGTTTTGTCTGCCCATCAGACGATGTTGAGTTGCTCATAGCAACAAACATGGAATTAGGTTTCTATCGTACAAAAACGGAACCGTAATTACCGGCCAGCAATTACGCCTTATTTACCACAGTTTCGGGGCTTTTTTAACCGGACCAAAACTTAAATCACCTACGTTAGACTACCCTACTACTTAGATACCTTATCTGCCCTATTACTTATCTCACGTATTGCTAGTGTTGCCATCGTTCTTATATGTAATTTTCTTCGTATATAGAAGACTGACTTTCCAGAAGCACAATTGCCTGAACGACATCTACTCCATTCGATCGTCTTACCCATGAACTCAGCGTTATCAACGATATTCCCTAAGATGGTCAAGGGGTAGAGATGGTGGAAGTGCCAACATCACTGTGGAGGACCTGAGCACTCTAGTCAGAGGACAGGATTCAAAGTCACGAATAAGTAATTCTCCAAAATGAGATGAACGACCTCCAAAATGTCCTGTCCCGGCTGACCTACCTTAGTCTTTGTGTCTGCACAACGAGGACCATAGGCACTAAAACATGCTGGAGTTTACCACCAAAGCATGGAGCATTTCGCTTGCTTCTTGTAAACGACCATACAATAGACCGCTCGGACGTTAGGACTATAACAGCCATTATCAACTGATTTAGGAGCTCAGTTCAATGTCCTCACATCATTTACCCCGCTCGAGCAAGGACGAGTTCTTCAAATTCCGTTCACTCGCGAACGACCTCCATCAAAAGTTGAACCATACAAGTCGATGGGAAACCCCGTGGGCTAAAAATCAGGAATCAGATCAGGCCTGAACTCACGCAAGCTAACGTTTGCATGTGTGTGATTCTTTACCAGGAGTCTCGGAGCAAATGTCTGTGCTGCTTCAATGCCAACTAACGCCGACTAGACGCGACATGATGTCATTGGGCGACGCAATCCCAACCTACCTCACTCACTGGCTCCAGGACGACTATGGTATGAAAATCACATCAGGATCTCGAAATAGCTTCGGATTCGGTTTCGGCGGTGCTACTTTACTTATTTTCACCGCGTTCCCCGTAGTTGCGGCCGAATGGGTCGTTCTGTGGTGAGCACATTGAACATTTTGGTGGTATTTTCTCGGAACAGCCCCACGACGACTTAGACGAGGATTACGAAAGCTGGGGAGGCGACGATCGCCAGCACTGTCGCCGCGTAATGCAACCCCAGGCGTTCAAGACTCAGCCATAATTCTAGTCAACGGAATGCTAGTAAAGCCGCTATATCCGTTGGGGGCCATCATCCCATAGGCCATGTTCTGAGCTTTGAACCTAAGGTAGACGGCTAGGTACACCGATCCTGGCTACAAGCGTAGCGAAAAGCCATGTCTTGTGGCCATAATTATACATGTATGCAAATGCTGTAGAAGCTTTGGAATGAAATATGTATAACCGCACTATCTGCTGTGAAACATATATTGAATCACGGTTCCCGATTCACCACTACCCATTCCATTCTTACTCTCAACTCTTACACTCTTCCTGACTTCCCGGACTGTTTCGTCCACTTACCAACAATGGTGCAAAAAACCGTCATCGGCGCTGCACTGGCTCAGGCCGCAAGCGCAGCTCTTTACGATGATACAATTCAGACGAAATATGGACTGATTCAGGGCTACCCGGCCTTCAATAGCTCTCCGGCGAATATGTCTCTTGATAATTGGGCAGATATCACCGTCTGGAAGGGCATCCCCTTTGCTGCCTCTACCGCAGGCAGCAATCGCTTCAAGGCTCCTCAACCCATCGCCGCGTGGAACTCAACTCTCGACGCCAAGTCATTCGGCAGTATCTGCCCTTCTGCCGTGGGCAGTGGAACAGATGCCTACACCGTTGGCGAAGACTGCTTGAACCTCAACGTATGGAGCGCAGCAAACTCGACTGATGCCAAGTTGCCTGTTGTCATGTGGAGCTATCCGGCTGGTTCGACTGCAGCGATGCCGCTTTTCGACGGAGCAGGCATCGCCGACAAGGGCATTGTATACGTCAACTACAACTATCGCACCGGGTCTTTCGGATGGCTTGCAACGCCTGAGCTCAACCAGGAGAGACTTAGCACCGCTGGATCGAATAGCTCGGGCAACTACGGCATGCTGGACCAGTTCGCCGCTTTGAAATGGATTCATGAGAACATTGCCAGCTTCGGTGGTGATCCGGACCACATCACAGTCATGGGTCAGTCCGCCGGCTCGGCGGCTACTTACCATATGCTTAACGGCCCTCTACACGGCGTTCCTCTCCATGGTGCCATCATCCAGTCTGGTGTCCGCGACCCCCACGACCCCCTGTGCACTAGCTTGGCAGAAAACTACCGGAGTCTGGACGTGAACATGGAGACGGCGAGCAGATACATGGCCTCAATGAACTGCTCTGATATCGCATGCATGCGCGCTCTTCCGATGGAAGATCTTGTCACCGAATTCCTCAACTCCGAATTCGACTTCACGGCCACACTCGACTACTACGCCATGCCAGACACTTACATCAATACTCTGGACAAGGGAATTGCCCAGGATGTCCCTGTCATGACGGGCAACACGAAAGACGAGAGCGGGGCGGAATACGGCCTCAACATCACTCTGGCGACGTACATCTCTGACTTGACCGAGACATTCAGCACTTGGCAGGACAAGTTCCTCGCCGCATACCCTGCCAACGACTCGGCCACCGCTTCGGCAGCTGAGAACGCCCAATGGACTGACCGCTCAAAAGTAGGAACATTCTTCTGGTCGCAGTTGTGGCAAGCCAATGCTACGTCGTCGGTCTACAACTACATCTGGGATCACGCCCCACCTGGGCAGACTCGGGGCGCGTTCCACATGAGCGAGATCAATTACGTTCACAACAATCTTTACGGAACCGACTCACCATGGACTAGCGAGGACTACGAGATTGCCAAGATCATGAACAGTTACTGGGTCAATTTCATCAAGACTGGCGATCCGAATGGAGATGACTTGAACCAGTGGACGCCTGCGAGCAATGCCAGTGCGACAGTAATGGAGCTTGGTGATGGTTTCCAAGCCCTCCCTATCGCCAAGGACGACCAGATTGAGTTATTTGCTCAATGGTTCGATACCTTGGTTACCTACTAGGGTATCTAGACACGTGTCTAAGCGGAGCCACTATCAAGCTGCGAGCATGTTGCATCAACTGTCTTAGGAGGAGTCGCCTGAATTATGTGTTTATATGTTACCTCTTGTATCTTTCAGTCTTATAGCTATTTCACAACCATCCCGTCGCACACAGGGTCCTCTAAATATTATCATGACATGCATCATCATCCGAACCAATATGTGTATGTGCGGAATCTAAATCGCCAAAGTCCTTTTTTATCTCTGCGATCTTTGCTTATTTGGGGATCTTGAACGGATGTGCCTCTGTGTTGAGAACGTAATCGTCCAGGCTAATGAGATCCGGTGGTGAGAAAATGAGATAGAAGTACTTGAGGGTCTCAGCAAGCCAGAAGCTCTGTAGAGGAATGAATTAGCAACTCGTGTCACTCAAACATGAAGAACAAGCAAAGCAGAGATCTGTCGCTGGACGTTTGCCAATGCTCACCTCCATCTCATCCAATTTTCTCGTCTGATCCGGCGGAACGGTAACATCAGCTATAGCTGAATGTGCGTGCTCTGTTTCTGTTGCTTTCAGAATCGACTCAAACATTCGCCAGGCAATATCTTGGAGATCTTGTCGGCCCGTCATCCTGTACAACAGGAATATGCTCTCGATAGCTTCGGGACGGAGAATGTATCTCGGGTCGCGTGCATTCCGAAAACCCTTCTTCAGCCTTGGATCCCCCTCGCTCTTCCATCTTGGCTCATCCCAGAGGCATTCGTCGTCCTTTTGGGTGTCCCCGGTCTTCCGGGCCTCGCAAGGGATGAGATTGAAGTTTTCCGGCATCACGCCGGAAGGAAACGCGTCGTACGCCCATGCACACCCTCGCGCGACCTTCTCACCGAGAGCAACGTGATTGTCGACGGAGAAGAGTCTGCCCCCAAGACCAAGCATACCGCCCGCAAAGCATGCGAGGTGTTGGCCGTCGGATACGTGCTCGATTCGGTCAGCATAGATGAAGGCATCGCCAGCGAATAGGATGTCGTCCCGATCTGGTACCATAGGCCGGAAAAGTATGTGTTGCTCTACTATTGCCATGGCTCCAATGTACATCTTTTCGTAGGATGGATCTCGGCCGCCGAGTAGCGCAAACATTTTGGGTAGATATTCGTAGAGTGAATCCGCCAAGGCTCCCAGCGTGAAACTGTTGTCCGTATCGACTCGTTCCTCTCTGAAATTAATCATCTTCGGCCACATCCCGGGAAGCTTAGACTTGAACTGCGTTCCTTCCAGAAACCTCGTAATGCGATCCACGGCGTCGAAGTATTTCGGATTACCCGTCAGCTGGGATAAACGGGTAAACTCCATAGCTAACGAGCCCGGGGAAGCTGACGGATCGTGCGTGCCAGCTAGCTGAGTTCCATTCCTAGCGTCTTCAAAGTTGACCCAAAAGCCTGGCAGGCGGTTTGGCGTATCGAATCCCATGTAAAGCATGTCCCCCAGTTCTTTCGCTTTATCGAGGAGGGCAGGCTCGCCACTGAGATCGTACGCACTAAGTAGGCCGCCCAGATGTCTTATCGTGGTTTCGAACATGTTCACGCTGGTGGCTGATGTGTTGGCCCAATCCAACTTCACGGCTACGTTGGCCGCGGCGCGAAACTCGTCCTTGAGCTCCATGATCCAGAGCGTGTCGAGAGAATCCACCAGTGTCGCAGCCCATCCTCCAAATGTGTCCTTGGCCCCAGCACTTACGGGCGCTAACTCGTCCCGACCCCAAGCAAACTTCTTGTAGCTGCTCCAACTCCGGATGAATACATCACGGACAGCTTTCTGTCGCTTCGGGGCCTCTGGATGCGGATTGCCCACGCCGAATTCGTGCTGGATTGAAGGAAGGCTTAGTGGTTTGCCTGTTGGTAGAGGCTTGGAGGAAATGACGGGGTGGTGTTGCTCTACAGTCGCCCAGTCGAAAGAACTCTTGCGGAATGTGATCTCCTCAGGCTGGCTGCTGGTGCTGGGGAATAACAGGATCGGTCTAGACTCGAATGGAGGAAACAGTAAGAAGACTGTGACGAAAACTGCGGCGATAAAGACAGCCAAGCGAACGGGGCGCCGTGGCGCAAGTAGACTCTTCGAGCGCATACGCATCTCAACGGTATCAACACCAGACGCGCATCGTGCGATCTTCCGGGTCTCGAAAGTTGTGACCAGACGAGCGCAGTATGGCTGAATAAAGCAGCCAATCTACCGTTGAGACGAACAAACTGGCCTCATTGCAAGAGACCTGGGCAGACATGAGCTTCATATAGCTCGGTAATTTCGGTCAGTTTCAAAGGCTATTCGTAGTGGAGGGTTACGCGGATCGTTGTTGTGGACACTCAGAGATTGGACCGTGGGAGCTTCATGCCGGATAGCGTTTGTTGCAGGAAGGTAGCATTACCATGTTGCAGGGAAGTCTGCCGGCGGGAACAAGACGACTAGCAATTTAGAGTGCACTGATCGACAAGTTTTGTTAGACGAAACAGTTTCGATCAAGTTGCGGGACAAACTCAAATTCAATGCCATCTCCTTGCAACCGTCGACGTCTCTCCTACTGGTTACCAACGCACGGGACGGAGCCGAAACCGACGAGGCGAGCACTCGCGTTTGGCTGAAAGTTGGGATGTTCCAGCAAATTGCTCTGTTCATTCGCTAATTTGTCACCCATTCAGGCTTTGCGATGAGCTGATCATCCGTGTTCTAGGCCGGACGAACCCGGGAATTCCAAGACCCTACTTGGCTGAGTTTCTGATCCCACTCAACTTGAGTTGTCATGGAAAACCTTATTTGTTCCACACAACCACAACAAGCTTTCTATTGCGGTAGAACAGTCGGTATCGCTTGCCAGGATCAACAAGAAAGACTCGCCGCACTCTGCTACAGGCGATGCGCGTCGCGTCTAGAGATGCCAGGTTCCTGGACAACTGCGGAGTCGACAACATATGAGAAACTTGGACGTGCATTTTGGCACAGTTACGCTAACCTGAACATCATTCTAAATTCTTGTTTTTGCCTCATCTAACAATAATGCCAGGTTCTGAATAGCTGCCAGACCATACAGCGCGGTGACATTGGTAGAAACCCCAAGAGCCTCATCTGCGGGCTCTAGAACGTGGTTCTTGTTCACCGGGGTGCTTTTCCAGACAGCGTTCGGACCATAGTCCCGAAAGCCATCCCCATTCTCAAATTCTTCCAACGCGCGTTTAGCCAGATCAGGTCTATTCAGCTCCTTCGCCGCATAGGCAGTCAAGCGAGAGTGTCCTTGTCTTAGCTGCAGTCTGCCCCAGCCAGATTGGCTGTATCGATTCTCCTGGTCCTCTAGACTAGCGTTGAAGAAGATGCAATACTCTAGCCATGCATGCCTGAACCCAGTTGCGTCTGCTTTCTCTGGAAACTGCTGCAGGATATCGACCGCCACCTCAAACAACCCGAACATTGCTGATAGGTGGGAAACCTTCACTACCCCTTGATTGTCAGAATCTGCGGCGGGTGGTGAGATGGCTCCGGTTGACGGATTGTAAGTCGCATTCCCGGTAACAAAGCCATTGGCAAGGGCGCCAATCCCTTCAATTGACCGGAATAGCTTACTCTTGGCCTCAGTCCATCGTGGCCCTCGTCGCTCAACCTCGACAAGCCAGGAGGCTGCTAGCGATGCCCAGTCAGTTCCCAGGCTGATCTCGACAGCATGTGCATCTGGGCTGTAGGTTTCTCTGTCCTTTCGGACCTTTCGGTACGGATCGAGGACCAGAAACTTTTGGTCCGTATCAAGCGTCTCTTCGAGAAGTTCTCTAACACGTTCGTCACCGCCAGACAGGTAGTAAAAGAAGCGGCGATACAAGGCGTTCGATATACGGGCTTGTTTGCAGCTATCGCTCCAGTGCTGCACGCCATGTCGTGTACCGAGACCCTTATAACGCCCAAGATGGTAAACATCCACCTCTCCAGTATGACGAGTCAATGCTTCCGCCATGTGGAACACATCAGCTCGACCGGTCCGCAGAAAGTACAGCCAGAGCCATAGATCTGGTGATAGCTCAGAATTGTCCCAGGCGTATCCGCCAACATCGTATCGCCAGGTGTGTCGGTCTTCATCATACGTGTGCATGATATCGCCATGGTCCCAGAACCCGTACCAACGCCGTTGTTGTACTTGCTTCTCGTAGAATTGAAACAGGAACTCGAGGCGTTCGTCGGTGGCTGAAAGGCCATTGGCAGACGTATTCGACAATGAAGACCAGTATGTACCGAGAGCTTGACTAAGGTGAATGGCTTCTGGGCTAGGCAATAACTTTGGAGGATCTCGGATGATGTCTATGAGTGATGAGAACTCATTGCTATCTGGCGTTGAGTCCGTCACCGATATCATCAGCTCATTTGTGCGCGCTATCCCGTAAGGCGACCCGAGTTCCGGCTCCCAATCCTCGTAAGTGATCTTCAGGGCGTCTAGCTGATCGTCAAAACCTTGTTGACCTAAGCCGTCATGATAAGGCCGAAGGTCCATGGGCCCGGCTTTGGGGTCGTATAGCCAAAGTGTTACCTCGGTGTCTTTTTGAGAGGCGCCAAGGCCTCGAACGTCGATTCCGGTCGGGTATCGTTCCCAGAAATGTCTCGACGCGATGGCCAATCCTCCGCGATTAGCACCACCGACATAAACAACTCCTCCCGCCTTGGTACCACTGGCGGTCTTAATCCACGGATGACCTTCCCTCAGTCGCTTCTCGAGCGTAAACCCATCTGGCGAGAGTTGATGCAAACTGAAGTCATTCCAGATGGGCACCCAGCGCAGAGAAGCTTGAGGTAGCTCCGGGTTCCAACTATCAGGAGACGGCAAAGGCTTGCCCTGCACCTGAGCGGACCTGATCTCTCGCCCAGGATCCTTCCAAAGTCCAGTCAGCCCTTGAGAAGCCTCGGCAAGAACACCCCCTGATGCTCCAGAAAATCGTACATGACGATCGAAGGCCGCTTCTTCTTGGAGAGGTACCTTGAGGCGGATTCCGATCCCTCGAACAAAGTCGTTTTTCCCGCCGTCGTATGTTATGGTGTGAAGTATTCGAATGTGACTAGATCCGGCATGTAGATAGAACCTAAGTGTGAAAGGTATCCATGGTTCGTGGGTCTTGATAGTCGGCTCGGATTCTTGAGGCACCTCGACATGGACTCCGTGAACGGTGATGACAGCGCGGATGGAACCGACTTGCTCAATTACCACCGAGCTTATGCTCCCCTGGAAACTATGGTGCTTCACAAGTGAGTCTGGTTTATCGGGATCATATACACGATCCTGGGAAAGGAGAACCAATCTGCCTTGTACACCAACCGTGATGCCCTTAGCATTGACAACTTCCTTGATGATCTCGTTCCCGGTCTTTGCAAACGTTACCTTCAAGCTCCCAGTGCTGACTGAGATGAAGTTGGAGTCTTCCTCGGCTTTGAGCTCATCCAGAAATGGTAGCTTGGCGTCCGACGAGTCAGCTGCAATGACGCGGTAGCTCTCTTCTGCTGTCGCTGATGAGGCAATCGCATGGTTTGTCCATTTCACAGATCCGTCGGGCCAGAATGCGGTTGGCCAGGTCTGTAGTGGAATCTCGCTCCCACTTTCTGTTCTGCAAATGAATGCGGTATTCGAGGGATGGCAGACTCCTTGCCGCCAAGGCACCCCAAATGTAACCCCTGGGTTCGAGGATGGTCGTTTCCCAAGCCAGTGAATAACTGTTTCTCGATGAGACTCCATTAATTAGACTAGAGCTCTTCAGTGATATGATTTGCGCAAAAGTCCTAACCGCAGAGAATACAGCAACCTGAAACGGAATCGCGATCGAGGAAAGGAGTAGAGCTGAGGAACCGCGCCGCGATATGACCGTTCTGTCGGGCTTGCCAAGCCCTAAAGTATCCTTCCAAGATGTGGCGATCAGGGGTCTCATGCATTGAAGCGGATTAGAGTTGATGTTGTCATTCGGAGGATTCTGACGTGTTGCGGGGGATACCGCCAAACGCCGGACCCGGGCGAAGAAAGCAGTGGGGCCGAAATGGGTGAGTCTTGCCGATTATCGCCCTCCATTACGGCTTGGCCTCGGCTCTAGGCGCCGGAGGGGCCGCCGAATGGCTTTTGGCTCAGTTAGATACTTGAGGTAGGAAGAGTCTACCTTGCATTTGGTGTGAGCCTGCATCCAATTTGTTGCGGTGGAATCAATATACATAAGACGACCCCACAACACTTGTTAGAAATCGAACTGCATTATCCCTGCGATATGTGCTCCCTAAATGACTTCAATGTGTAGACGAATTGCGGACAATATCTTCAATTTATCCCACGATATAGACCGAACAAAGACAAATAGTGAAAAGGGGACGATGTCCTATTTCAGCCGAAGCTGAAGGTCTTTCAGGATTGTCTGGAAGACCCGATTCAGTTCATCCCATCCCAACCGAGTTGGCTTCCAAGTCGGCTTGGCAACGTACGCACCCGCTGCAACGACCCCAAGACCAAATACCCAAGGCATAACCTTCCGCAAGCCAGTGAAGAAAGCGAGCTTGAAGAACCGATTCTGCCTCGTTCGCACGCGCTCAAGGTGCTCTTTCCTCTGGTTCGCCACGGGAAAATCGACGCCGCTCGGGACGTCCTTACCCAGGAATTCACACAATGGCGCCCAACCGTCCTCCAACTTGAACTCCAGAAGCCGGTCCTTGGGCACCACAGCCCGGACCTCTGCATAGTGCTGCCTGTAACGGTCTTTGGCGACTTCTCTCATCTCCTTTACGTTTCGGACGCCGTAGAATCCCAGCAGGATCTTCCTAAGAGTCCTGCCGCCGTTCAAGCCCCATGCGGGCCCCAGAAAATCGATGATCAGGTTCGCGCGCAAGCCCCAGGTAGTCTTGAAGATGGCCTCGTCCATACTGTGGAACCAGCTGTCGACATCGCGCTCAACGAGGATGACCTTGGCTTCTGGATACGCCTCAATGAGTTGTAGGGCGAAAAACGAGCCCATGTCAGTGACTGCTTCGTAGGAGCCGAATAGAGCTTCCCAGTCTTTGCGTGTAAAGGGCGCGCCGTTATGAGTTGGAAGTGTGGGAAACACGGAGTCCGCGGCGCGAGAAAATAGCGCCCAGTCGCGGGGCGAAGAGATGGCCTGGATACCGTGGTGGACTCCCTGAAAGCCCAAGATTGTAAGAGCTTTAGTGATGGAAGCAGAGCCTGTGACGTTGTTTAGTCCACTGGAGACGTGTGAGTTACAACGCTTTGGGTACGAACCAGTCCGTGTCATTCCCAACGAAAGGACCTTCATCTCTTGAGCGGACAGAGGCGCTGAAGCCGCTGGCGTCTGGGCCGCCATTGTTGCTGGATTATTTTACAGCAAAGGCGAGCGTTTGAAGCTTCTGTTGTGAGCAATGATAGACTAAGAGCGAGAAGAGTTGGTTACGGTGTGAAGTTGATAACTGAACTAAGAGGCAATTAAAACTCGATCTCAATCGAATCAATGTCCTTTCGTCTGAAAAAACATTGAGATAAGAAGCAAAGACGATCATTGATATCAATAGACAGCTTCCAGCACGTGGACAAGTGACAGGCGCTGAGGTCCTGCTGTCGAGAGTATTTCCGCCGAGGGATCCCTGGTCTTCAGGGGGCGAGTCATGAACTTCGCCGAAGCTTGTCAGTATAAGCCCCTGTTCCCAGTGGACACTGTCTTTCCAGGTTACTCTACTTCATAGACACATTCTGCACTGTATTCCCCTCAATCTTTCGGGTATCGAGTAGTTCATGGGAGCTAGTGGGCATCACCACAATGGGGTTATGCTATCAGTACCACTGAAATACGCCGGTGAATTACCCTGCTCAACAAAGTATGTATCTTCAATAGTGTCAGCAGTAGGTCAGGCTTCATCTGTCGGTCTTTCAAGACCTACGTTTGAGTAACGAGAACACTAGGCCTTGGAAGCAGTAATCAGAAGCAGTAAAGAACTTGTAGGTTGACGTTTCTCTTCGTACAACAGACTGTTTATGCTTGGCTTGTCTCTGAACATCTTTTAGAGCCGATCATAGGGCATGCACACGCTGAACCATAATTACCTACAGTGTCTTTAGTCAAAGAAAGCTAAATCGAATCCCTTCCAAACTCCCATCTCCTACGACCTAAACCGTACATCAAGCACTTTATGAAGCTTCTTGAACCAAAAGCTTGCTCTTCCCAGCCAAATCCGCAGCCAGTTGTCTCATGGGAATATTGGCCATGATGTCGAATACACTAACCTCAACCGCAACCTCCTTTGCAATCCAATTCCTGACCTCAACAGCAACCAAGCTGTCGACGCCATAAGCACTCAGTGGCTTGCCCGCGTCTACATCGTCCTCGGGCATCATCATCAACTTGGCCAGGCGCTGCACCAGAGCAGAGGTAATCAGATGCACAGCCTCGTCGTCCGCCTTGCCACAGCGAGCCAGCTCTTCGCGAAGAGAAACAGTGGCAGACCCGCCCGCTCCGGAGCCCGCGGCAGTCTTCCTGAGGCCAGCGAACCGCTGGTCCTGGATCCAGTACCACGCGTCGTCGTGCTCGTTATAAGGGAGTCCGCACATAACCTGCGGAGGATGCGCTTCGGAGCCCTCGAGCGCCGTGGCCATGAGGCCGTGGAGATCGCTCTTGTGCATCACCTTGAGGCCCATGGCCTTGACGTGGTCTACGTACTCATCATGCTCTGCCACGAAGCCGACGCTGAGGAGATAGCCAATGTCAATTGTCATGGCGCGCTGGCCCTGGCTGCGGCGGTACGCCGCGAAGTAGTCCTGGAAGATATTGCCGCATCCGTAGTTGCCCTGTCCGCGGTGGCCCATGACTCCAGCGAGGGAGCTGAGCATGACGAAGAAGTCGAGGTCTCGCGGGAGGAGCTCGTGCAGGTTCCAGGTTCCGTGGACCTTGGGCCCGACAGTTGTGCGGACGTGGTCCGCAGTCATCTTGTCAAAGAGGGTATCCTGTTGTGAGTTGTCAGCAATGAAATTATCCTGCTGGGGTTGGGAGCTTTGACTTACTCTGAGAACCATGGCACCGGTCACACATCCCTTCACAGCAGGGACGCCCTTTGCCTTCAAGTCCTCCAATACCTCTTGAAGGGCAGCCTTGTTGCCAACATCGCAATCATATGCATAGGTGTTGGCCTCATAAGTCTTCTGAAGCTCAGAGGCGAAAGCCTTGTTCTCCTCACTGCTGGCGGCCGAGCGAGAGAGCAAGACGAGATTCTTAGCACCCTTCTCTGCAAGCCAGCGTCCAATCTCCTTACAGATACCACCAACACCGGCGACGACGTAGGTTGCGTCTGCTTGAATGTCCACACTCGGCATGAGGGGGATGGCGGGGACCATGTCCGAATCGTCGACCCGAACGACTACCTTACCCATGTGCTTGCCAGCCTGCATATGACGGAAGGCCTTCTCGACCTCGGCCATGGAGAAGAGCTGGATCGGCGCGATGGGCTTGACGGAGCCATCATGGATGAGCTTCGCTGTATCTTCCCAGAGAGCTACTGCGCGGGGAGTGGGGTTATTCTCGAAATCGAGAAGATTGACGCCGATGTAGCTCTTGTTGTCGAGGAAGGGCTTCATGTCGAGGCCCGTGTTGGCGAATAGGTCGGCCTTTCCAATTTCCAAGAAGCGACCGAATTTGGCGAGGCAGTGCCACGACAGACGAAGGGCTTCACCAGCCAGGGAGTTGAGAACAACGTCCACGCCCTGGCCATTGGTGGCCCGCATGATAGCTTTGGCAAAGCTGGTATCACGGCTGCTGAAGATGTGATCTTCAGGGATTCCATACTGCTCCATGATGAGCTGCTTCTTCTCGTCCGAGCCGACAGTTGCAAAGATCTCAGCGCCCTTGCGCTGCGCGATCATGATTGCAGCTTGACCGACACCTCCGGCAGCGGCATGGATCAGAATCTTCTCATCCTTGACCAGGCTTCCGGCGGTTACAAGGGAGTAATGAGCCGTGAGGAAGATCAGGGGCATCGACGCTGCCTCCTCGAAAGTCATCTTTTCAGGGACGGCAATGGCACCCTTGGCCGGGAAGCGGACGTAGGTCGCAAAAGTGTCGCAAGAGGCAGTCATGACACGATCACCGGGCTTGAAATCCGAGACCGCTGAGCCGACGCGAGTGACAACTCCAGATGCATCGACACCGAGCTTGTTCTCGGCGAGGTTGCCCAAAGCGACGAGGACATCCTTGAAGTTGAGACCCACTGCCTTGACCTCGACTTCAATCCAGTCTTCAGGCAAGGGCTGGTAGTACGTCTCGTCCTCTTCCCATCTAAAGGTGTCGAGAAGACCAGGTGTCTTGATGGTGAGCTTGAGCGGTCGTCCGCATCCTTTGAACGAGACAAGCTCCGGTTGTCCCTTGTCTTCGTACTTACGAAGGGAGTCGTCGACGCTGAGAGTTCTCTCTACTCTCGGGATGTAGACGGTGCTACCGCGAGCTGCGAATTCGCCGTCAAACCCGTCGCCACGACTGTGGCCCAGCGCCACCTTGCGGACATTCCTAGCGGCCTCTTCGAAATTGATGTTGCTAGCGGTCTCGAGGTCGAGGGTAGCCAGCCGAACGCCTGCGTCCTCGTTACGAATGGCTCTTGACAGACCAACCATCAATGACTTCATCGGCTCAGGGCATTCCATCGCGGCACCACCAGTGATCCAGATAGTTCCGGCAGAGCCCAGTATGACTTGGCGCAGCTTCCCCCAATTCTCGTCTGTGAGGTTGGCCAGGATGGCTTCCTCCCATTCAGCGAGGCAGAGACAGTACTTGCCATTAACCTGGCTCTCCGAAATCCCATCCCATTGAGCAATTGACACATCTTGACTAGCGGATACGAACTGCTCTTTGATGGCCTTTGCAAGTTTCTCAGATAGTTCGGACCCTGTGCTGACGACGACGAATTGAGAGGAGCCAGACACCTGCTTCTCTGGCTTCGTCGAGATGATCAAGGAGACAGGCTCCATAGAAGCCTCGCGATCGCCGCGAATGTCGACATCGACACCCGAAAAGCCGGCCAGGTTCAATGCAGTGTTCCACTCCTCGACATCCAGGAGAGGACCTCCTTTGCGGCCGTCATCTTCTCCAAGCCACCATCCAGGGAGGGGGCCCATGATGAAGCCACTGAAGATGCGCTTGATCGTAACCTCAGAAAGCACGAGGCGACCACCAGGCTTTAGCAGCGACTTGCAGTGAGCGAGGGTCTCTTGGATGCTCTTGGTGGCGTGGAGTACATTGGCGCAGACAATGAGATCGTAGCTCTCGCGAGTGAAGCCCTGCTCGGTGGGTTCGTTTTCGATGTTGAGGGTAGTGAACTCCATGATGGATGCGTCAGTCGAGAAGCGATCGGCTGCCTTGGAGAGGAAGCCCGGCGAAATGTCCGTGAAGCAGTACTTTGCCGCCTTGGAAGTTCCATCGGCATTGCGGAGGCGCTCCAGGACGTGATACGTGGTGCCACCGGTACCAGCACCAATCTCCAAGATGTTGATGCCGGGTCTCTTGTCAGCAATCAATCCAACGTACTCCGCAACGTTGGTGTTGAAGCTGGTTCCAAAGGCGCCGCGGTAGAAGGAGTACAACAGATCGCCCTCGGTCATGACCTGCAACGGCTCTACCACGCGAGAGAAGATCTTGCTCAAGTTCTCTCCGATGCGGTCGACCATCTGCACTGTGATGTCGCCACTCTCGGACAGAACGATTCTCTTGCGCGCGGCGTCCAGCTCGGCTTCAACTTCTGCCTCGCTGGCAGCAAGAGGTGGGAATTGCTTGATAGTGTCGTGCATCCACTCGACATAGGACTTCCAGAAGCCATCTTGGGGCATAAAAGCTTTGCCCTCCTCACTTTCAAGCCAGGCGAGGCAGCGGTGAATATGGACTAGACAGACGTACTCAAGCTTGTCGAGGACAGAGTCGTCATCTTTGCTCTTGAGAGTACGTTTGTACACAAGCTCCTTGATCTGAGAGGGCTCAAGCAAGTCAGAGTCCTCGTGCCAAGTCTGTCCGAAGCAGGAGGCCCTCGTCTCTTGAGCTTGAGAAGCTTCTCCCTCTCCAACGGAAGCCAAAGACAGCCCGTCCATGATAATCGCGGGTTCAGAGAGATCCTCGGAGATGGCGATGGAGGATTTCCAAGTGGTGTAGCTGGTCTTCTGAGCCGTGGAACATCCGTGAAGCTTAGTTCCAGGGACTGTTGAGAGTTTGGCAGAGACGAAGATTCTGTCAAACGAGAATGGCACGACTGCCTCGCTAAGAGACTGGTCCTCGCCACTAATAGAGGGGAAGAGAAGATGCAGCACAGAGTCTAGGGTCGCAGGGTGGACCACGAACGG